GGGGGAGCACAGAATTTGGGACTTTAAAATTCAGAAATGTGGATTTTTGGGTTGTTTAACCTAAATTTTGGTTAAAGGTTGTTTAGGAATTTGATGATTTGCAAACTTGTGAAAATGAGAATTTGAGGATTTAGGAATTAAGGGAGTATGAGATTTGAGGAAGTATCTAGAAATCTTTGAAATCAAGAACGTAGGAAAACAGAGCTCGGAATTATTGGATGGGGATTTAGATTTAGTTTTATGAGGATATAGAATTTGGACATTTAACGAATTGTCTAGACACCTAAAAATTTCAGTGTCTAAGAATTCGAAAATATAGCCATCGAAGGGCTTGCAGTTATAGTAACATAAGTATTGTAGAACCTGCATTAATGATCCATAAATTCGAAAGAAACTTAAAAATTTAGAAATGTAGAGATTTGAAACTTGAAAACTTTAAAAAGTAGAGAATTAAAAGATGAAGTGAACGTGGCCTTGTCGAGAGGAAGCGAACGCTTGATCGGAGTGTACATATAAGCAAAGGAGTGTCGCACGCATCGGGATGCAGGCCAATGTCCCTGGCCGGTTGCGCCATTGGGACCGAGCCTGGATACCTTCAAGGCCGACAATTGCTCGGCTTTAGTCGTCAATGGTGTTTCGCAAGAACGACCCATATAACGAACTTGACGCGACGACGCGTGGCGCCCACCCTCTCCTTTGATCTCCGGTGAAAGGTGCTCTCTCGCGAATCTCGAGGACGCTCGACCGTTTTATCGCCGGTGTTCCCTTTCTCCTGGAATAGAGCCGCCTTTCCGCGCTGTTCCAACGGAAATCGCTGCAACGACCGTGAGATACCGCAATCGTAGACTCGATAGACCCTATGGCTAGATTCGATCACGTACCCGGCTAAGTATGGTGCAAGTAATTACAGCCGTACTTACATTCCCGGCCAGAACTGGTTTCCAACGGACTGCCCACCTCGTGTGCCTCGATTATGCCCACAACCACGGAAATCATATTTTCTCAAACGTCTATGCGCAACGTGAACTGGAATATACTGGGAAAATTATTGCACAATTTTCTGACAATCTGATTGTCTTAGATTCAAATTTTTATGCTAGTTTCTTTGAAGCTAAATAGCTAACCTAATCATTTAAATAATGGTTTAAATTCTTAAGCTTATAATTGTTTAATTGTCTTCGTAGAAACTAGGATGTTTTATATGGTGGAATTTTTCATTTGGCATGAATGATTCAAAATTTATACGAAGAGTAATTCGTACAGATAAGAACATTGTTTCAACTTGAAATTGCAGTAAAATAATTGCGAGTCTGTTTCAATTTACAAGTACATTGGAAATATTCCCACGACTAGAAGAGCAAGTTATAATTACCGATAATTAAATAAAGATAAATAATTCTCCTAGCAATAATTAAATAAAGATCTTGATAAATAATTCCCCTAGCAATAATTAAATAAAGATCTTGATAAATAATTCTCCTAGCAATAATTAAATAAAGATCTTGATAAATAATTCTCCTAGCATTAATTAAATAAAGATCTTGATAAATAATTCTCCTTATACAAAAGAACTAAGTAGTAGAATAAGTTGCAGTAAAATTGAACACTCAAAAAAAGGGACTTCTCGATCGCAGCCATTTTGTAGTAGAAACGCGAGGGGGTGTAATCCGTTAACGTTCAAATATTTGTAGCGAGGTTAAAAAAACCTGGTTAGTCTCGAACGGCACCTGGCCAACTTGCATAAAAGGGTTATAGACCAGGTCGAGATTGCTATCAGCACCTCCGAACAAACTATCTACCGGGAAACTTGGAAACTTTTCCTTTTTCCTATGTACGTGACCCCTTTAGGAAAAAACTTGTCGACCGTGAATCCGAAAATTTATTTCGGGTAAAAAAAAAAGGAAAGATTTTCTAAATGGAAACATTGGTCTCCGGTGGTACGTGCAGCCTGCGGCAGTGGTGTAGGCGCATTAATAATGTAAGTGTGCAGATGGTGTGCAGTGAGTGCGCGGTGGCGCTGACTAGGATCAATGTTCCGTTCGCGATCTATATAGTATTATAGTATAGTGTGCGTACATGTAACGAGAGCCGGCCTGTGTGGGAAACAACAACACCGTTACACAGGTCATTTTCACAGGAATATATTTGCGGATATTCTGATCAAACGTGTACGATGCTTGGATATGTGTTCGAAAAACAAGCATAGATGGCTGCACGATCGATTCGTGTTGTATCTCGTTAGGATTTGTTTGGACAGCGGGGGAAAAATGTCGAGGGAAAGGTGCTTATGAAAACGATATTTACTGTGTTTGTGACTTCCTAATTCAGGGAATATGGAATCGTTAACGTTTGCGGTCGAAAGGCGATGCTATAGACACGGCCTTTGTAACTCTTCGTCGGTTGACAAGTTGCACTTCACTTTATGCATTCAATCTTTTGTTTCTGCTGATATTAACACCTTACGGGCGACAGCAATTAAAACGTGGATATAACGTAGGGGACAGAGACTGAGATGGGAAACTGTAAGGGGATGTGTGGAAATAAATTATACTGTTTGGAGATTTGAAAATTTAGGGATGTAGACATTTTGGTATTAGAGCGATTGGATAATTGAGTAACCTAATTTTTAATTTTATTTGGTTATGGGAAATTTTGCAGTTTTAGATTGTCGAAATTTTTATGTTGGTAAATTTAGAATGTTAGAAATTTTAGATTTATGAATTATCTAACTTCGCAACTGTACGTTATGAAATTTTGAGTTCTTTAGTAATTAAACATCAATTTTTTACAGTGATAAATCTGGAAGTTTGGTAAGAGGGATATTAATCTTTCAAGACTGTAAATTAAGAAATGGAGTATCAAAGTTCAACAAGGTACAACTTCTAAATTTACAAATCAAAATATTTGGAGATATAAAAATATAGAAATGTCAATCTTCCAAAATTAAAAATTTACAAACTTGAAAGTTACAGCAGAAACATTAAATTTTTAGCATGTCAAATTTTCCAGCTAATGGTTTCGACATTAAAAATGTCGATATCCAAAAATATAAAAATGCAGAATATTAAATCTTCATATGCTAAACTAAAAAATTTGTTTGTTCAAAAATGTAAAAAGAGAAATATTGAGTTTTCATATAATTAACCTAAAGAATTTATATATTAAAAAATGCGAAAATACAGAAACATTAAATCTTCATATAATCAACCTAAAAAATTTCCATGTAAAAAATATAAAAATATTAAATCTTCATACATTCAAACTAAAAAATGTATAAACTGAGAAATGCAAGAATACAAAATTTCAAAAATTTGAAGTTTCCGAATATACAAATCAAAATTAACCAACATTGGCTTGTTACTTGAACAAAGTTATGCGTCAGAGTGATATACCATTTTCCTAACCCGTTTAGCTTTTAGAACCGTGTAATACAAAGGTTTCAAAGAGATCTCCGTGCAGGTGTCCGTGTTTGAAAAAGAGTGAAGCGGACAGGGATGCGGTCGCAGATCGGGTGTTATGCTCGCAAGCGTGTAATAACGTATTTTATAAATTTATTCACATGATTTAAATAAAATCAAGTATACAGTTTAAGTTTCGACGACACGGGCGTGTCGTGGTCACAGTACCGCAAGCGCATGCTTTCTTCCTCTTTTCTCACTCTTAATTACCGTCTGTATATTCTCTTGTACGCGACGAATAATATCTTACACGAGGCGACGTTCGATATACATATTTACATATCGTACAAGTATCATCGGACATATAAAATTACAAAAAGGTCGTCTACCTAGTCGAGAATTCAAAATCGAAGCTAAAACACTCGCTCGTACACGCATTCTCTCTTACTCGATTGAGAAGGACGTAATCGTTCGTTCGTTCGTATATATATATACAATGTACATACGTACACACGCGCCGATACAAGCGTACAGCTTGCAGCTCTATTTACATATTGCGCTCGTTACGATAGAATATTTACACGCTCGTGAACGTAAATCGTCATTGAAAACGATTTCCCCGCAAAGGAGACGTCGCGTTTATACTTTATCGCTCGCTGAAATGTCGTCGAGTACGAAAAAGAGACTCTCCCTGTCGAACTAGGTTCTCGCGAGACGCCATTCAGAATTTTGCGCGCGCGCAATGTGAACGGAGACACCAGACAGATACCGGGGAAGAGCCGAGAAGGATGAACGACAACAAAAGTGTGTAGAAGGAAGAGTAGTCCGAAGGGGGAAAAAAAGGAAGGGAAAAGCCAGGAGTGGAAAAGTGAACAATCACGCTTTTACCGATGAAACAAAGCAAGAGCGAGCGCGTCTCGCGAGAAGAGAAGAAAAAGGAAAAAAAAGAACAGAAGCGAGCAAATATTTCCCAAGTAGCATCGGATAATCGGCTAATCGCAAATCTCTCGTCTCGACAACCCGTGACACTCGATACGCGAGAATTCAAATCGAAAATAATATCTTCCGTTCATCGACTGCCCAAGGTTATCCAGGATCGTCTACCTCGGCGATGGACAGATCGACTGCCCGTCAGATTCCTCGCGGGCACGTGGGTGCATCGGTACAACTTGATTATACGATACTGAATCTGTTATTACACTCCAACGAAGTTTACAAATTTTTAAACTTACAATATTCGACTTTTTATACTTGGAAATTTTCAATTAGGAAACTTTAGTACTTAAGTTTTCACGTTTCCGCATTAAGAAATAAATTTCCACATTTTCAAATAGAAAAATTCAAGAGTTTTCATAACCAGAAATTTTCAAGGAAATTAAAAAATATGTTCTAAAATGAGAAATTCAGAATTCTTCAAATTTTCCAGCTGAAAAATATAGAAATTTTAAACTCCTAAAGTGAAAAGTTTAGTCTTTCACAAACTGTACAATTTGGAAATCCATAAACTTTCAAGTCCTCAAGTTTCCACCTGAGAAATTCATAAGTTTACAAACTTCCAAATTTTCAAAATCAGTAACTCTCAAACTTCTAAATTTAGTAACCTACAAATTTCCAAGTTCTCAGGTTCTGAAATTTAGAAACGTTTCAAGAGAAAAAGTCACAAGTTTTTATATCAATCTCAGCGTACCGTTTTCACCGATTTTGTATCCATGCCCGTATCCGCGAATGGCAATGTTTGGTTCATCCAAACAGCGTGCTCTCGCAGGCACAGTTGCCCTCGACTATAAAGTACAAAGCGGCACGCGTCCCCTTGTGCGTCGTGTGAACACAAAAAGCAAGAACAAGCTTCTTCCTTCTGAGAACGTATCACAAAAGAATCGTCAATGATCGCGAAGCTAGACGAGATAGGCCTGTCCGGAGGATGGCGGCGGAGGTGGAGGCGGTGGTTGTTGTTGTCTCCAGGCGGTCCTTTCGAGCGTCGAATAATCGGAGTCGATGGAGGAGTATATGTGCTCGGACAGGGGTCTCCTGTGATCCTCGCTGCTGCCGCTGCTGACCGTCGTGTTGGTGGCGATGAGATTGCTACCTGGTACGGTGACCGCATCCCGGTAGGCGTGATTGACGGTCAGCCTGGGCTGCGGCGACGAAGG